AATATTTCAAAGGTAGAAGGATGTCTGAAAATGCTTTATAGATAAGTGGCTATATTTAAACACAATAACACATCTTAAATTCCTTATACAACGATCTATGAAGATGATGTCATTTACATCCGCAGAGCATTCGTCAACATCACCAATATAAAACCCAGCAGCATACGTGGACAGTCACGATGACTAACTCTTATTTTTATCCGTTCTTCACCATTTGATTAAGGTATGCCATGAAATGGTTTAATAGATAGGTTCAATTGGCAAAATTTCTGTTAATTAAAGAAGGCTGCGTCAGTGGCAACTGGGGAGACTTGCGTTGCTCACGCAGACGCTAGGACGGTTATGGCATTGTTCGTTTTTATAGGCTAATCTCTGTCAGTGATATCAAGGTTTTAAAATTGGACGGACCAACTAAATAAACCAAGTAAATCGCCCTTTAAAATTATTCAAGTCCGCCAAAGTAAACGGCAGGCGTCCAAACGGGCCGTTTTTTACTTTTGGAATTAATTTATGCTTGGGGAAATGAAATAACAATATCGTTGGTATTCATTACAATCTACCGTTACTGTACAGAGTTATTGCTTGCGTGTGCGGCTAAAGGAACCTTTGCAAATTAAATACTCTTCAGACAGAATTACCGCAATAGGTTTCAAAAGAAAAATAAGCATGTAAACTCTTGCCAGAATAAATAGGCTTCCGCATGTTTATTTTCGTGAATACCGAAATGGGGTAACGAATTTGACTAAGCGCATTATATTCTAATTCCAAGTTTAAAAACTTTGTATGCAGGAAGAATTCACACGCCTTTTCCGCAAATCTGATTTAGTATACGGTTAAAACGAGCCGGTGAACATCGCACAGGATTCATTGCGATAGGAATATGGGACTTAATCGAAACCACTAAATGCTTATCCTGCTTCAAATGGTTAGCTGTGCCGATTTCCGTTTCCATTTAATTCCTTTATCTTGCGTCCTCAACGTTGCTGTTTGTTAAATGAGCAAGTTTGCCACACTAGGTGCCCTTTAGACAGTCACATTTAGTGAATGTTTAGCTGGCCAGAGTCTAAAAATTGCTTAGTTTGCATCAACATGTTGTGTGTATGCAAGACCATGGTACGTATACGGGATAATGGGCATCACCAAAAATACAATTCAAAGAAAATAAGCCATATTGGAAACTGAACAAAGTTCATTTCTCCGATTTTCGACCATGGTTCCACAAGTCGTCGTCAGAAGTGCAGAAAGTGTGAAAAAGACGGCTTAAAGTAAGGCACGCCTGAACAATCGATATTGTTTTGTCAGTGCGGTCAGTGGGTGGATGGGGAAATAGATATCTCTTTCTCCACTATTCTTTAAGATTTGCGTACACAGCGTCCAGTCCGATGTATCGATTTATGCATGAATCGACAGAGTGAATGGCCTCCGGAAAGTATCGACATTAATAACGCGGACGGAAAGCGACAATTCGCGTTCTCATTTAAGAAGAATTGAGCCCAGATTCTAGGGTACTCATGCCGACTAAGATAAACGTTCTTGACTCCTTACTGTTTATTAGTGTTTATGTAGGCGTATGGAGGCAGATTCTCTATGTTTGTCACAATATACTGCATTACAGGTGCTATGTGGAATCGCTTTCGTGCTCGAAATGGCAGTCCGCAGCATATTCCTATTTTCTGATGTCATCGTAAAGCAAAGCAGCTTCGGGATATTCCACATATCAGTATATTTTTGAAACGCCTTGGCCACGTAATATCTTGAACCTGAGTTAGCATTTTTTTAAACGCTACCCGATATATTGTTTTACAGACCTTTGACTACCCAAGCAAACTATTTCAAATGACCTTATTTTGAAAACGGCAACCTCTTCTTCAAAAACCTGGCCTGTCTTAAATTTGTTCCAACCAACCTCTTCGACTAGAACTGGGTTGATCATTTTATTACAAGTTCACATTACACTTCGCCTCCCTATAGTTGAGTTCGATTTCTTGGTTTGTCGACTTGTGCCCGGCTGTCTACATATTCCCAGTGCTGGTTTTGCAAACATTGTGTTCCTTTTATCAATTGAGAAAGAATACCACCTAGTTACACGACTATATGCGCTGTCGACGATCCCTTTATCGTTTGGGGATAGTTATTTAGCGTATCTTAAGAAGTCGCAGGATAAAAAGTCGCCACTGCTATAATCGGTACGGAACTAATATTATTTTTAATATGGATTAATTGTATCAGGGCAAGCTATGTTAAAGTCATCGACTAGAGGCGTCACAAAGCCGACTGGTGACAGTTGGATTTCGTTTTACATATAAAATTTGGACCTCGCATATCCAAGCGACAAACAAAGGAATTACATTGCAGGCATAATATACTGCATGTATAAAACCGATTTAATGTCCTCAGTTGATTTTACATATGTGTTTGATATAGATGAACAACTTCAGCCCAAGCTTGTGTGATATTTGGGAAATTCCCACAAAACTATCATATGATCAATAAATAGTGAGTAAATAGGAGACTAGAAAAAGACCAACTGAGCAAGGTTACGGTGGTTGGTAATGCATTTTTAGAATCGCTGCCGTCTTCAACGAAAACAAATACCATAAGCATTAATTCAGTAAAATATGGTCTACATTTCTTAAATGCAAACTCTACTTCACATAAATTTTACTATTTGACAAATATTATATGTTTCAGACCAAGAAAATATGACCACAAGATCACGAAGGCTATTGGCCTGATATTTCGGAATCTCACTCGATTTCATCATCATGGACGGTCACAAATGCTTGTTTCGGGTGGGATTCCGAAATGACAGGCCAGTAAAACTCCCGTCCCAGTGGTTGCATATGATTCTTCTGAACCGCTTCCAAGGGCTTGCCAGTTAGCTTAGATAAGAGCAAGTTACTAAATAGCACGGGACTCCAGGTAATCGCAGAACTGTGACATAAGGAAATTAGGCAGTCGTGACAATATGCCCAGGAACGATTAAATTGTAGAATATGGAGTCAAAAAATACTGCAGCACAGTTCAAGCTCTCGTGCAACGCATAATAACTGATGCACGTAACTTTAGTTTGGTTCTTACTAAGAGCGACTCCTACGAAATGCAGACCCGAAGTCTGATGTGCGAAACACGTGCAGACTTGCTTTCTCTTATTCAACCGTATTAGACAGCCTCTATCTGCTACTGCTGAAGAGGACATTCCAGTAGTTCCGAACGAACATCGTAAGATAGATATCAAATATTACAAGATTGTTTCATTTATTTGTCTGAAGCATAAAAAACATTTCAATAGGAATTTGAGGAAGATGCAGAATAATTTTTGCGAAAAGAGGGAAACTGTCTGTAATCCCCTATTGAGAGTGTATATCTCGCTGGTTAAACTAAGCATGAGGTCCTGAAAATGAAGATGGGAAATAAAACATGGTCACATCTTCATAGTTACGAGATAATTAGAATCTGTCGCTTTTTAATTTCCTCAGAAATTAACAGTAAACTTGGAGTAGATCAGTTTATCCAATAACTATAGACTCCGACTGAGCTTTTTACGTATGAATATTTGGGTCGACGTCCATCAGCCACAGCGGTAACCGCATAATGTCCGCTAACTGCCAACAGACAGTTAGTAATATAATTAAGGTTAAGATAATATCTTGACCGCCTCATCTAGCCCATTATACATCATGCTTTTACACGGAACTTAAATATCTCAAAACAGTGGCCATCCACAGTCTTGACATCTGAGTAGGAAGGATTTAAACCTAAACGATGTCAACCTAAAATTACTACTCATTGTGGCTGAATGTAACCGTAGGTAACACCAGGCCTCGCTTATTTATTTTCTATGTGCTTTAAATCTTACAAGTACGTCTTGTGTCAAATATTTCGCAGTCGAACAAGGTTGACATTTCAAAATTCGCAGTATTCCTGACTGCTATGAAAAACTTGCTGTGCAAAAAATACACCAAAATTAAAGTACGCGGTACGACTGTACAAACAGTCAGAGACAGCATGATAACAGTTAGTGGGTCTAAAGGGGGTTGTCACTGAAACTGCTTAAAGAATAATTGTTTTCGCATATCTGCCCGTTAGTAAAAAATCAGAAGATTTAAGTACGCAAACCTAAATAGTAGAGGGCGACTCGCCAATAAATTCTGAAATGATAATTATCATATTTAATACGTTCTAACTACCTTGTAATAAAACTTTCAAAATATGACCACGTCCTTAGTTTCCGCCACTTAGTAACGTAGCAATTGAAATATGAATAAATACTGAAATTATGAGTTAAAATGAAACTGAATCACATTGATTATGTCTGCAAAATAGGGTCTTTCTTGTTTGACACGAATCCTAAAGGGAAGATTAAATAATATGCCGGTAGTTCGCCTGAAGGTATTATGTTTATTACTTAAAACAAATTGCTTCAAAGCCCTTTCAAATGAATATGACTTCAACAACCTACTTTTCGACATTTTCTGAAACACAGTTTCTGCTGGTTAGACGATACAGGTGCACCTGAACATGGTCCTACTATTCATAATTCGACTTCTCATCGAGTCATGAAGCAACTGTTGCATGGGAGCACGCCAGCAAATAGCTTGCGTACTACCTGCTGTAGTTGGTATGCAGGTAGTTTGCAGCAGAGACGCAGGGGTCGCACATACAGTTAGGAGCAGTGAGACAGAAAAACGCGCGGTTGCACGCTGTCATGCGTAGTCTATTCGTAAGCCAGCCATGCGCCCATTGTTGGTTTTGTTTTTTTCCATGGGGGAAGTGTGACTCCGCTGAGTCATTTAACTTCCAGTAAAACCCCTGTGGAATGTGAGCACACGTTTCGATTAACGTAAACTAAACCGCAATTCGCCCATTTTTCCAGTCCAGTGTTAATGCAATCGTCTGGTTGGTAGCAACACGAAAGTGTTATCAGTTAATCCAGGCCACTCAACACTGGAAATGCGTAAATTACCCTTAAAGCGTACTTCGTCATTTTTATCGGAGTTATGGTCTGCCAAATTTCTGTTCGGTTGCTTCTCCTGGCTTCAATCTTTATCCTTATCGCCTGCGAAGATGATGGTAACATTACAGTGTTTTGACATGCACCGGAGACATTTGCTCTAATTAGGACGACGATTGCCATTAAAATTACCTGGTCTAGATGTCTTAGGATAGACCGTTCAGGACAATTAAAATAAGTAAATGACCGATCACGTATAAACTATCGAAAGAGCTTCGACCTGCATGCAACATGAGCGCAAGCGTACATAAAGGCTTCTTGTGTTCACGGTCTTTAAAAAATGTGGTCAGATGATAAGGACAGTTTATTTTGAGTGTGTCAAATAGCATGAAAACTCTTGATTTCTATCATGTTTTGTTCAGATGTTTTGCTCCGATATTTTTTATTGTCTTATGCTTGTTCTTCGAGATGAAGTTCTTAACGACAATCTGCCAGCCTACTGCGGACACCGCCCAAAATTGCCCACTAATCACGGGGACTCAGGCGCTGGCAAGCATGAAGCCAAACCGTACAGTTGGCCATGGCACGTAGGTTAAAAAGAAATTATTGTATTTATATTTCCCTAAAATTAATGTATATGAGTCTTGGCAGAATTAAGCTAATAAGAAACAATCCTAGTGCGGGCTCGGTTACCTCCATGAACGTTTAAATGTGTACATGCATGCGCATCCTTTTGTTCAGATACGATTTCTGCAAGCAACAAGCGATTTAGTAATGCCGATTTTATTTTCTAAATGAATTCGTTAAACTCTAATTTTAAAAGTAATAATGATAGCCTAACTCTGCCAGGAAATAGAGGACTGGGATCTGTTTCATGCTGATAAAAAATCGGTGTAGTCGGAATCGAATGGAAAAGTTTAATTTATCGGACAGTTCATTACCCAATCACAAGGCAAACCTCACCGAAAACCCTAACGTCTCACCTCAGATGTACTTGTGGCAAATGGTCTATTATTTCCATTAGAGTTTTGTGTTTTGTAAAATATGATCACAAGTTTCAACAACTGCTAAATCTCATAGGATTATTCAGACCTTAGGACAGTGTGCAAAAGAAATATACAACGGTCACGATTGCATTGAGTACTTTTGACCAGTACCATTCATTGAGAAAATGTGACATACACGCCCTCAAACAGAACTCTCTATCTAACTCTACGAAGTTTATCACACCATGCAGAAAAGACGGGCTGATTTGCTTCGGAGTTTTCTTATAAAGAATCAGATTTTGGATTTCGCATTATTTAGCATGATAAATGCTTTTTATATAAGTTTACATCTTACCGCCTTATTAGCAAACTAATTCTAAAGCCAAGATAATTGTCAGACAGAAGAATGCATTGCTGGCGGAACGGTAGAAATTTGATGGTAAGACATGGGGATGTCTGAGACAATGACGTGATTAGAATTTCGTGCATTTTTATCCGTAACTATTCTCACAGGTTGGACTGTACTCCACATCACGCGGAAGATCTCCGTACTGCGGAGCAACGCTCATTTCTCCAAAGTGGATTTTAACTGCAGCCCACTGTGTCAGAAGACTCTTCGACTGTGTGCCTATAACGCCCGGTGAATTAATTGATATCGAAAAAGTTACGGGAAAAAAGTTAGCGGCTGTTGTCGGTGACCACGATTACACCGAAAAAAACAAATATAAAGGAAGACTTCAAGTTGAGAAACTTATTGTACATCCAAATACGACGTTGGAAGACACGAAGATCGGATATGACATTGCACTTTTAAAGTTGAAAGGCAGGGCAAAACGAAGTAAGATGAATGCTTTTGTTGTTCAGAACTATTGTGTCCGAAATAATTCATGGAGTAAATAAATTGTAAAAAAATGATGTAATGGCATTTATGGTTACAAAATGTATGTCAAATTAGAAAAGACAGTTTGGGGCCACAGCACATGTAATTGCTATGTACGTGTGCAAAGTAAGTTCGGAAATCCCAATGCAGGCGTTGCGAATAGTTTAGATTCAACCAGTTGTGAACCTAAAGACAACGACCCATTTTATGATTACTTGCAGGTACCGCACATTCCGCGGTGACTGTGTACGAATGGAGAGCTTGTGTAAAAAGTTAATAAGTTGTCCTAACCCATACACCTTTGAAAAGTGACCAATTATTTACCATAGCAAATGCAATTTCTAGAGTACCGAAAAGATAAATTAAGGTTTTCGAAACATTTAACTGACTTGGCCGCTCATTTCTTGCGTCATTTAATTTTAATATCACTGTGGTATAAAAGGGCAAGAGTAAAAACGCAGGAAGACCTCTGAACTGTCAAACATTATACTGCCTAGATGCGATATTTTTATATTTGTATTCTCCTTGCAAAATGTACAACATAATATGAATTCTAAAGATTTTTGTGAAAATTCGCATTCTGCACATTCTTAGCTTAATACCTTTCAATTTTTCGCAACGTTCCGTTAATAAAAACAATTTTTAAGCTATTTTACTTTCATCATTACACGCAAAATTCATGTACCATGACAACGTTTCTATCTAAATTAAGTTTCTGTTGCTGTTAAGTGGTACACGTCCAGTATGCCTGTCTTCCTGAATCCTTCCTTAAACTGCCGGATGGAAGATTTTGTTATTTCGCTGGGTGGGGACGAGTGGTTAATGCTGCAGAACCTGGAACGTATTACAAGCCTCAAAGATTAATGGAGGCAAGAGTGCCCCTAACTTCATATAAGGAATGCAAGCAAAAGCACCGGAAAGTTGATGGTCTGAAGCACGTCTGCACTGATGCATCATTTGGGGTATGATATTTTGGAGAAGCCTTCATTGCTGCCTTTAGATTTATACCCGTTTAACCAATTTCTTCTGATTTAGGAAACTTGCCACAGTGACAGTGGAGGCGGCTTACACTGTCTGGATCATCAAGGACATTGGGTCGTTTATGGCATCATTAGTTTTGGCCCGCCAGAATGTGATGGCGACTTTTCAGTGCACACATGGACTGGTCGCTATGTCGAATGGATCAAGAAAATCGTACGCGAAAATTGACACAAATGGGCGAGAAACTTGATTGGCTTCATGAGCTTCAAAATTTAACTTTTGAATTAAAATCATTTCAAAACTGAAAAATTTATGCAAACAAACAAATAAGTACAATACGCGAAGCATGAAAGCGTTCTTCAAAATTTACATACGCTGTCCCTCTGATAGATTCCGCGAAAACTGATGCTATACGCGGTATCATCGCCAATTATCTGCCTTTTGGTCTGGTGAGCTTTGCTGACTGTTACTTATGATTAGGACACAAGTAATCCTTTACTTCTTAACTTTGGCGATGTACGCCTTGTAAGAGGAGATAGGATATTACTGAATTTTATGTGCGCATTTAGCGTGGGCAAAGGTTTTTTTTTTATCAAACTCAATGTGTGCGAGGTTGCGCTTTCCGGCGAAAGTGAGGTCTGCTGACATTCATGACATGACTGAAATTCGAAAAGGCCTTCCCATTAAATCGTCTGATAAGGCAGTTTTGATGACGTACCATCGCTAAAATCTTCGGCATAAGGCAATACTCAAAGTCGCCTTAAGAAGCAAAAAACTCTGAAAGGCTTTTTTTCATCGAATAAGGAGGTGAATTGTACGCTTAGTCTCGTCTAGGCATGATGGCGTCGATGTTAACAGTGAACCTCACAGAGAGCGTCTTCAATGAGCAATTACTGCAATTTCCTGTGTCAGCAAATGCTTGGGGTTACAGAGGCAGCGACCATACACCTAAACATATGCTCACGTAAGGCGCCCGTTTTAGCTCTTCAGATATCCTGGCTTACGGTAACCCTACAATATACTACACTCAATCTGCGCCGTAGAGTTAAAGCTGCGAAACCAAAGCACTGCAAATTGTCACATCTACCTCTGTTACCCCTGTTATTAACCGAATAAATCAAAAATCCCTCCCGCTACGGACATCCCAAAACGCTATCTGCCATCTACCCGGTGACTTTTCCTTATCGGTTTTTTTTAATTTTGTTTTTTGTCCTGACAAAGAATAAAATGAAGCGTATATCCGCATAAGTTAACATCATCAATGCTCCTATCGGTATGATCTCAGGACCCAAATGAGTAGTTCAATATAAGAAGCCGTTACTCTTAACATGCCTTGATATTGCAGGCCGCATATGATCGCCCACGTCTGTCACCAAATTTCGAAATAGGGTCAGTATAACAAAACAACTTAGTGGCTATCACCATGAAGTTACCAGCTACTTTTCAACCGCACACTTAATTCTTTCACGACTTGTTCTCGTGAGTTTCGTGCCTTTTCAAACTCGGTTGTTTTTGCTTCTTCTTAGCCGGCTACTGCGCTTCCTTTCTTTTATATAAAGTACACATCACTGCGAACGAAACGACAAAAACAAGGCCTGATTATAGAGTCTAAACCACGAAAGTACAACGTTTGCTGCTAACCTGCATATCGTCTTATTCACATGCGTCTGACAAAATACAACAGCATATGACTGGTAGTGTTTTAAAAGTTTTTATCATACGGTTGCATTAAGAATCTTATAAGGATGAGTGTTTTATGAAGTGGACCATAAACTAAACTGCGTAATGACTGCCCATATGTTTCCTGATATTGTTGAGCAAAAACGATATAAATTCTCCATTTAGTGTGGATTTTGACGCGTTTGATTGAAACAAATATGACGTCACTTGATTGTGCTGATAGAAGCCGCATAACAATTAAAGTCTTTATTGGATCGCATGCTGATAGATTGCTCATGGACATGTAAATGTGAATGAAAATAGCAGATGTAACCGTAAGTAAACCATTTTTATATATTAAATTGGTATTTCTTCTTGAAAATTGACGAGTCCTGTTTGGACACGACAGAGTTCGTTCCTTGTTACAGCATCCTTAAAATGTCAGCAAATACCTTGTGATTACACTATTTTCATTCGGCTGCACAAAAAGATAAATTTTATGTAATTTGAATATAAAAACCCTTAAAATACCTGACGGGTTTTTACTTATTGCTTTACATGCAGATAGCCGTTTAGGTCACATTTGTAGACTCATCCTAACACGAAAACCCATGGTCACAAACATCAAAGTTCAAAGTAAAAGTTGCCAGGGAGAGTGATATTGATCGACTTAAAAGACTTCTCATGCCAGCTGTCTATTTTCCATATACTTTAATTCGGCATTTCGATTATGGATGTCCACGAGCCTTGTGCATTTTGGGGGTTAATTGGAACTTCTGGTCGGCCTTTTGACAAACCGGAAAAAATACTTATAAGACGTTTGCTGCAGGCGAAGCTGCCCATCGTTGTATGTATATTGAAGTCATTTTCGCCGTTATTAATATTTTTGGGTCCCGATCTGCGAAAATTATTGCAGAAATAAGTGACTATGTACATAGTGATAGATTATTCAAACCGCTAATGTTATTCCGTTTTTTTTTCTGAATTTTGCATTAGCAGAAACTGTTTCCTTTAAAACCCATTTCACGAAATTGAAAATATTAGATGACCACTTCGTAATTGCTTAAGGTATAATCATAAAGCATGACGTCTCACAGATTTACGTATCTGACTTCGAAAATCGACAAAACGATTGATTTGTTTCAAAATAGGCCCGATTCTTGCCTTAGTTCACACGGCCTTCGAGAAACCAAAGACACATATTCGGACGCGGAAATTTGTACATTGTAAAACCAACAGGGCTTAAACAATCTCTTTGCAAAAATTAAAACGCGTTCCAGCGTATCAACTAAGTCTAGGCTGTCTCCTAACATTGGAAATATTTCGAATATTGAGTAAATTAAACTACTGTACTCATGTTCAGTTAAGTTTAATTCACTTTTATTGAGGGAACTACAGGTCTTCACCTTTTAACTGCCTATTTATTTACGAGCAACTGAACAATCTCAAAAATTGGAAAAGGTATCGTAAAGGTAACAAACAGTCGGATAATCGTCAACTTTGCACAGATAAACAAAATGTGTGGACTCTTAGTGGTACGGACAGTAGTACAGCGGTCGTTCCGAGTGCAGGGAAACAAATAATATACCCAGGGAAAAAGGTTGTATATACATGTCAGTAAGCGTATGCGGTGGGGTGGAGACAATAATACATTCAATTTAAAATGTTACTGAAATGTAGCGAGCAGTATTATGGCTACGGGATTTGTCAAGGTCACAGAGGTCGGTGGTAATTTAGTGAACACTGCTTCCTTTTAAAGACCTTGACGGAAGCAGACAAAACGGCATCCGGAGGCAGGACGTTCCAAGCTTCAAGCACGCTGTTAGAGAAGAAGAACTTTTGTGTGTACAGACTGGCCCCGCTCACACGTATTTGAAATGGATGACCTCGTAGTATTGCGGTTGTTGCTAAATCGAAGAAGTCCCCCGGCACGAGGCTGCAGTCTTGACCGCGTATGATACGGAAGGCTTGTATCAGGTCACCCCGTAACTGCCTGTAACTCAAGGGAAAGAGATGAAGGTTAGCTAACCGCGTTGCATATGGTAGTGGTATACCATTCAGGCAGTAAGTCATGTGGTTCGGAGAGCGGGCTCTGCCGACCCGTAGAACATTGCATTTTTTCAGTGAACCGCAAAAGACAGTCCTCTGACCATTGTTGGATTCGGTTTAGGTTGGCCTGCAAATGCTCTTCGTCGTCGGCAGTTCGAATAGCGATCCAGAGCTCAATATCATCCGCATACATAGCGACTCCGCAATCCAATTCACTAATGCAATTGTTGACGTAAATAATGAACATAGTAAGACCAAGTGCTGAGCCTTGGAGAACGCCGCTTTCAAAGGCAACCTCCGTCGACTGCTGGCTCCCGACATGGAAAGTTGGAGAACGGTCAAATAGGAAGTTTTGAATTCATTTTAAGAGGTTACCCCTAACGCCTGTTCGGCCCAGTTTGTGTAGGAGTCGCTGATGTGAGACACTATCAAGTGCCTTTTTTAAAGTCGATATAGACTACATGCAATGCATCACCTTCATCAACTGACCGAGTCCAACGTTCATAGCAGTTGAGTTAGTTAGTCGCGCAAGACCTGCCACTACGGAACCCATGCTGCGCATCAGATAATAAATTATCTTGCCCTGGGATGTGCGTTAACTTTCGCTTAATTATTTTCCCATGACTTTGGAACAGATGAAGGTAAGGCTAATTGGCCTGTAATTGTTTGCAGAGGCCTTGCTGCCTCCTTTATGCAGTGGTGTGATCCGCGCAGATTTCCAGTCGGCGGGCAAGCAGCCGGCTTCGAACGAGGCTTGAAAAAGCATGGACAATGGTTTGGCTAGTCCAGCAGCGTATTCCTTCAGTAACTTAGGCGGTATGTCGTCTGAACATAGTGATTTCGACTCATATAGCACGATTAGCTCTTTTTGAACAGTCACTTCATCAAAAGATACAGCGTCAGTTTTGGGGTCGTCATCGAAGTCGTAGTCGGGAGTAGTAAATGCGCTTTCAATCGTAAGGATTGATTTTTAAAAAAATTGTAAAAAGTGCTCAGCTTGTTCTCCATCCTCATTAATTTCCACGTCTCTGCTTGCCTTCAGGAGGGAGATTGGATCTCTGTTTCATGTGCTGATTCTTATGTAACTATAGAATAATTTCGGATTTTCAACAGCACGATTCAGTAGGTCGTTTTTTAATATTTTGTCGCGTGCTGAAAGAAAATCACTTAACTAAGGTAATCTGTGTTCTGTTTGCATTGATGAATGCAGTATTCGCATCAGTAAGGGATTTCTGCCACAATTTCCGCTTTTTATTAATCTTATTTTTTAGCGCCTGGATGGGCCACAGGGGTCGATTGTTTAACCGCTTCCGTGTAAGCGGGTAGTGGTTCCTCAGGAGAACATGCAATAATTCACTGAACCATTTCTAATCCTCCGCTAAATTTCCGGAAAACACTGATTCGCAGTCTGTATTGTTGATTTCGGCCTTCATTTGATCGAAGTCCCCACGTCAAATGTTTTTTTTTTAATTTTGGTGGGCTGTTCAGGCACAGAGAAGATTAAATAGTCCCTTTGGAGT